AGCTGGAAGGGCTGGTGGGGGTGGCCAGGGCCCCTTCGGAGAGGCGGGGACCCGGGGGCTGGGTTTGGGCTGGGCGGGACTTTCCCTGGGCCCCGCTCCCCATGTGGGAGGTGGGGTCAGGTGGCGGCCCTGGCCGCACCTCCTCCTGCCTCCAGGACTCTGCTGCCTGAGAGGAGAGGAGGCCCCGGGGCCTTCTGAGCCTATTTGCCTGAGGAAGGCTCGGGGTGGCTCGTCTCCCCAGCCCCTTCCTCGTTTCCCGACTCCTCCAGGATGGGCTTGAGCCCCTCCAGGGGGGGCTCCTCGGCCTCCTGGTCTCCTGCCTGGGTAAGGCCCTCTGGCCCCCAGCCAGGACCCCCTGGGCTGGCCCCAGAAGCACTGCCCATCTGGGCTGCAGTGGGGCCCCTGGGGCCCTCTGTGGGCCCTGCCCGAGCCAGGCCTGCAGGGGCAGGAGCACTCTTATCTTCCTGAGTGGCAGCAGCAGCCTTCGTGGTATCATCAATGTCAGCAGTAGCCTCAGCAGCTTCTTCAGTGTCTGGAACAGCGCTGGCAGCATTTTCATTGGGTGGGAAGACCTCAGCAGCATCTGCAGTGAAAAGAGCAGGTTGCATGACATGTTCATTGGCTAAGGAGCCCTTGCTTACATCTGCAGTGGTACACATACCTTCTCTGGCAACTTCACTAGAAAGGGCAGCATCTTCAATGGCTGGGGAGGCCTGGGCAGCACCTTCATCGACACAGGCACCCTGGTCACCAGCTGGGTCTCCTCTATTCACTTCAGCTCCTTCCTGGATTTGCAACTGCTCATTCCTAGCTGTGGTGGCCTCCCATGCCTCAATCTCCCGAACGAGCCGGAGCAGATCCATGAAGCCAGGCAGCCTCTTCTCCAGCCACATCCCCCTCAGTTTGACCTGGAGCGCCTCGTTCGGGAGGGCCCCCAGCATCAACTGCCGGGCTCGCATGTGGTCTGCCATGGCCGGGTGGATGGCCCCCTTCTCCATGGCCGTCTGCAGCAGGTCTTCCAGGCGCATCATATAGGCAAAGAGAGTCTCCTGGGGTTGCTGAGAGCAAGTCAGGAACTTCAGCCGTGCAGTCATCGGGCTGTCCTTGTTCCCGAACACCTGCTCGAGCACCGCCAGGCAGTCCTGCGCAGGCATGTCAGGATGTTCTTCCAGGAGGCCACACACGAGCTGCAGGGCGCGGCCGCCCAAGCTCGCCACCAGCCGCCGCCTCCTCTCCCCTTCAGATGTGTGCTGGCACAGGTACAGCATGTCGTTGACGTGGTCCAGCCAGCTCTCAGAGGACTCTTCCCCACAGCCTGGCTCTTCCGTCCCGGAAAAGGTTGTCTGCTCCTGGTAGGCCATGTTTTCCAGCACACGCTGCAGAGCTTGCCTCCATCGCTGGCTCCGGGCTCCTGCCTCATCTCCCTCCTGCCACATCCAAGGCTCCCACCTCACCTGCAGGTCCCGCCTCACCTGCGGCTCCTTCCTCACCTGCCTCACCTGCAGCTCCTTCTTCACCTGCAGCTCCTGCCTCACCTGCAGCTCCTGCCTGGCCTGCAGCTCCTCCCTCACCTGCATCTCCTTCCACACCTGCAGCTCCTTCCCCACCTGCAGCTCCT